ACCCTAAACCCTAAACCCTAAACCCTAAACCCTAAACCCTAAACCCTAAACCCTAAACCCTAGGAATACTCTGCTTTATATCGTGCACTGCACATCCTTAGGCGTGAAGCATATGTCTCTAAACCCTAAACCCTAAACTCTAAACTCGCAGCTGTCCACCCGACTCTCTACACTGTACAAGAACAAGTAAACCCTAAACCCTAAACCCTAAACCCTAAACCCTCGTGTTCATTGCTGCGCTGCAGCCCTCTGGCGGGGAGTCAATTGCAAATTTGTGCCTCCGCGTTGACAGAGTGATGGAAAATTTGGCAGAGTCCTGTGCAGGTCAGTTGGGGTGTACGTACACCTCACCCCTAAACCCTAAACCCTAAACCTTAAACCCTAAACCCTAAACGCTAAACCCTAAAGTCTAAACCCTAGACTGGAAGCAATATTCCTCTTAAAAAGCCAAATCTGAAAACCCCCAGGGCACTGCAGTCGTAATGCGCCTTATGATGAACCCTAAACCCTAAACCCTAAACCCTAGGTCTGTTTTGCTGCAGGTACGAATGGTGCCTCAACTCGTCAATAGGGCGCTTGAACCGAACGATTTGCTGCCAGCAGAGCCGCTGCTGCAGCAGCAGCTGGTGCTGCTGAAGCAGCAGCAGCAACAGCTGCAGCAGCAGCAACAGGAACTGCTGCTGCAGCTGCTGCAGCAGGAAACTGCTGCAGCTGCAATTGACAATGGTCCTCACAAGCAGGAGGAGGAGCAGCAGCAGAGCCAGCAGCAGCAGCAGCAGCAATTGCTGCATCTGCAACGGCTGCAGCAGCAAGAGCTGCTGCAGCAGCAGCTTCAGCTGCTCTGGTGCCAGCAGCAGCGAGTAGAGCAGCAGCTGCAGCGACACAGAGAGTGTCAAGGGCAACCGCATCAACAGCAGCAGCAGCAACAGCAGCAGCAGCAGCAGCAGCAGGCCCCCATCTATCCAACTTGCGCTAGAATCCTCTCTCTTCCTGCTGCTGCTGCTACACCTCCTGTTGCTGCTGGCGTTGCTGCACTTTCTGCTGCTCCTGATGAGCAGCAGCAACGTGGCTTTCTTACTGCCCCCCCTGCTGCTGCTGCAGGAGCAGCAGCAGCAGCAGCAGCTGCAGCAGCAGTAGCAGCTGAAGGCGAGGTGCTGCAGGAGGAGTCAGGGGATGACAGTGATAGCAGCGAAGAAGATATTGAAGCCTCTTTGCTGTCTCCTTCTCTTGCTGCTACAGCAGCAGCAGCAGCAGCAGATCTCACACCAACAGCAGCAGCAGCAGCAGCAGCGCAACGGTGTACCCCTGTGATGTCTCCTTCAGGAGATGCTGCAGCAGTTGTCTCTTCTTTGGGGTTGAGGGCCGCGTCTGCGCCGCTTGCTGCTGCTGCTGCATGCACCCAGCAGCAGCAGCAGCAGCAGCTACAGCAGCAACAGCAGCAACATGCGGCGCACCTCAGTCTGGCTCAGGGGCAACAGCCACCGCAGCAGCAGCAACAGCAGCAACAGCAGCAACAACAGCAGCAGCAGCAGGGCTCAAATGGAGCTGCCGAGAGCTGCTGCAGTTCTACAAGAGGCGTTGAAAGAGAAGATGCTGCTGCAGTTTGCTGCGTGCAGCAGCAGCACGAGCAGCAGCAACAGCAGCCGCAAGAGCCGCAGCAACTGCAGCAGCATGAGCAGCAGCAAGAGCAACAGCAACCACCCCATCAGCAATCTCCTGTTGTTTTAGGGGAACTCAACCAGCTACCTGCTATTCATGCTGCTGCTGCGCCTGCTGCTGCTGCTGCTGCGCCTGCTGCTGCTGCTGCTGCTGCTCCTGCTGCTGCTGCTGC